AGTCACAAGCACCTCGATGGCACATAACAACAACAACAACAGTATAATTAACAAGGATCTTCTCCTGTAGAAAATTTACCTGAGATTTCATTCTAAGATTAATTATTTCCTCTCTACTCTTTTAAAAGTCTATGAACTTGTTTTAAAACATATTAATTTTACTGTTTACATTTATTATTTTCTCTCCTTATTCCTTCCATAATATTAATTGTTCCATTTGGACTCTAAATTTATCACATACCCTTATAAGGAGGTAGAGAGGACTATGGTGCCCAGGTTGTCTTCCTTCTTCCTGGACTGCTCAGTCCACTCTTCCCCAGGCCTGCCTCATGATGAAGAGCCAACACAAATCCATCTCGTGCCAATTTACTTTCTTCTGAAAATGATTAAGTGTGGCTCAAGCATAGTTAATAAAATTGCAGCTGAGATAAATCTGGGACTCATCTGTCATACCCTGGTCTCTCTTTTACTAATCAGTTGTGAGAAAAATTTCAAACTCAGAGAGCAGCAGCAAAGAAATATGAGATACTCAGATTTCTTGAGGCAATTAGAGACTAAAGAGCAGAAGGCAAATCAGTCTTTCTTTTTTGACAGTCTTAAAATACACACTGCAAGTAGACTTTAGAGCTATTCTATTTGTGACAGATTTTGACCATAAAAGATTTTCTAAGTGGAAAAAAAGTATTACTCACTTCAGGACATGCATTCCATCCTCGCATCAGCAGAGATGATATAGGCTTGGGGATAGAGTAGCCAATGGGTGGTCTGATATGATGGTAAGCCATGTCTGCTGCTGCAGCAGCTGCAAAACAAATGATCACGTCAAAGTTTTGAGATGCACATATTTATTTCAAGAAACACACAAACTGAAATCCTATAATCATTGAGTTGATTTAGACTCATAGTGACCCATACAGGGCAGAACAGAGCTATCCTAAAGCATTTCCAAGGTAGCTGTAATGATTTTGTGGCAAGAAGCTGTGCTGCAATCCTAAAGGCATGCGATTCAAATCCCCCAGCTGCTCCACAGGAGAAGGCTGGGCAATCTCTTACGCGATTAACTGCCTCTGAAACCTGCTGGAGTGTCAGCTACGCGTTGGTTCCATCTCCACGGTACATAACAACAACAATGACAACAATAACAAAAAGGTTCCCAAGGGTGTAATGTTCATCAAAACAGATTACTAAATTGCTTCCTTTTTCTACCTGTGGAATGGTTGGTAGGTTGCAACAATCAATCTTTTGGTTAAGGGCTGAGTGCTTAACCACTGCGCCATCAGGATGCCTAACAGATAAACAGATCAAAGAAGTCACTAAAATCCATCTATGGGACTCTTATACATCAATACTCATTGCAGCACTATTAATAATAACCCAAATGTGAAAACAACCCAAGTGTCAATTAACAGGTGAATGAAGAAACAAAACAGGATACCAAGAGCGATGTATTCAGTCTTCTAGATAAATTAAATTCCGCTACATGCCAAGACATGGGAGGATCGTGAAGACATATTAAGTGAAATAAGCCAGACACAAAAAAGCCGATATTGTGTAATTCCATATATATGAATAAAATAGAATAATTAAATGCCTAGACACAAGAAGATTAGAGATTAAAGACTTAGGGAGAGAGCTTAAAATTGGAAACAAAAGATGATTTAGATTATTTTATTACAATTAAAAACACCAAGATCAAGGTGTGTCACATCAAAGAGGATTAAAATACACCTTTACATTTTATTTTTTTTTATAAATGACTTGACTACTGCCGTTTTAATGTTTGTTAACTTAGCTATCTTAGGGAGCTCTGGTGGCCTACTGGCAAGAAGCTGCACTGTAATCCCAGAGGCGCATGGTTCGAATCCACCAGATGCTCTGCTGAAGAAGGGGGGACAATCTCCTCCTGTACCACTCAGTTCCAATTTGACAGTACACACACACACAAAATAATAAAATGTAAAAATTAAGAAAAAACCCAAAACATAGTTGTCTTAATTATATAATTGTTAGAGGTTAACACCATAATTAGAAATTTTATTCCTATTCTTCAGTGTCTTTGTATAATATTTGCATTGCCATATTTGTCAATCATTTTAGTTACTATCATAGAAACGGAATTATAACCAAAAATAAATAAATGTAATTAAAATATATTTAGCATACTTAATATTAGTCATAGAATGAATGGTTTGTATAAAAAATTCAAATAGTATATTCTTTATATTTGCTGTTCTTTTTTCTTTTTTATTAATATTTTTATCATTCATTTACATTGTTTCACGCATATGCATTATGTTTCGTACAGTTCTTCATTTATATTATATTACATTCATTTATACTATGAGTTTTTGGTTTGTTTCACTCCCTTACTATCTTCTAACCAACAATTACTTTTGTGAAAGTATGTAAGGCAGCTACTTCATGCCTACTGCCCTAATATCCCCCTTCTAGATAGCCAGTCACTGATTTGCCCATTCCTATCAAACCAATGTAGGAGTTCTGGTGGCAACCAGTGAAGGATCCTCTGTTCAATTTGGAAATTTTGAGCATCTGTATCCATTAGCAAAGTCCAGTCCAGAACAAACCATCAGATTGCAGCAATCAACCCTAGTTCACAGCATGGATCATCTTCTCTTCAGTGGTTGGATTCTGGCCAACTCATGTCCAGCCGTCGGTGCCTAGGTTTAAATGGGCATCATATGCAAGCTCGGGACTCCACACTTCTCCCTGCATTCCAGACCTCTTGGTCTCCTCACTTAACCTGACTGCCTGCATGGGACCAAGTTGAGTTAACAGGCCAGAAGTCCTCACAACTGCCTGCTCCTTAAATATTAGCTATTCTTGACAATTTTTAACTTTGGAATGAAGTAAACAAATAAGCAAACCAGTAAGATGAAGCTTACGGATTATCTTCTTAGCATACTCTAGTTTTTCACCCAAGACCATTTTGATATTGTTGAGATGTTGCACATAAGATAATATTGCATCCTTTAAGCTAATTATATATCTCTTAATGAGTGTGGAGAGAGTATTCATAGAATGAGTTCAGCTAAAATGTAGATATCCATCATCCCTTGTGATACTCATTTAAATTCTGTTATCAAGTATATATACCCACTAGTTTGCTTCTTGGCTTAGTTTCTAGAAAATCAATTTAAGATGAGTGATATTTAATCTGTCATTATTCAAAGTGGGTTTTTCAAGACCTTGGCATCTCCTCCTTTTTACTTTACATGCTTTGGGCAGTGATACTAGTCATTAGCACTTCTGCCAGAAAGTGGGCAATACAACTTGAGGGATTATGAAATTGAAATCTGTTAGCTTTGAAATTGCTTTGTCAGTCTTGCCTAACTGGCCATATTATACTAACAGCTGGGATATGTTTCTGGCATTCCAGGTTTAGGAAAGAGACTGTCAGCCCATTAATCATTTTTTTTTACCTGGATTCATACACAAGGTGTCACATGATTTATGTAAATGTTGGTTTTTCTGTTTTCACAAAAGGGATTTTGTTACTAAAACAGAATAAAGCTATTTTTTGAAAATATAAATAACCACTTACTGAGCATCAATTATTTCTTTAACACTGTCCTGAAATAATTGTTGTTGGTTTTGTTACGATATATGCCATCAAGTTGCCTACGACTCATAGCGACCCCATGTACACAGCAGCAATAAAGCCTGCTCTATCCTGTGCTAATCTCACTGTCTCTAACACCTACCTCCATTACCCCAGTCACTGAATCAATCCACATCATAGAGGAGCTTCCTCTCCTGCACAGTCCCTCCCCCTCCCAAGTGTGATGCCCTTCTCCAAGCACTGGTCCCTCCTTGCAATATGTCCAAAGTATGTTAGACGAAGCTTCAGAATCCTTGCCTCCAAGGAGCAGCCTCTTTCAACCATCTCTAGGATGAACCTGTTCATTTTCTTAGCAGTCCAAGGTATATTCAATACTCTTCTCCAACACCGCAGCTCAAAGGCATCAACTTTCCTTCTATCCTCCCTAATCATTGTCCAACTCTCTGATGCATATGAAGTGATTGCAAAGACCATCCAATGTATCAGGTGCACCTTAGCTTCCAAAGTGACACCAATGCTCTTTAGTACTTTGGAGAGGTCCCTAACGGCAGACATTCCCATCGCAATACGTATTTTAATTTCCTGGCTGCTGGTGCCAAGACTGCAGAGCCAAGCAAACTAAAACTGTTAACAATATTAATCTCTTCACCATTCGTGTGGATGCTGCCAATTGGCTGAATTGTGAGGATCTTTGTCTTTTTGATATTGAGCCTCAATCCATGTTGAAGGCTGCAGTCCTTAAGCTTAATAAAACTTAATATCTAACACTGTCCAAGGCAACTTTTTGAAATGATAAAAATATCCTCTTGCCTTGTTCAATATTGTAGACACTAGGAACTTGTCTCTATCGAGCACTTGAAATATAGTTATAAGTTCACTCCTCATGGACAAATGAGAGACTACATTTCAATTTTATTTGACTTTAATTAATATAATTTAAACTGATATATCCTCATGTATATATATCCTCATATATAGCTTCTATTTTGGACAATTTAAAAGCAAACATTTTGCCTACAATTTCTAATTTTGAATAGTTATAATACTTAGATTAAACACACTTTTGTAAGGCAAGTTATAGGTCAAACACATTTTTGTAGGCTTTAAAGGTCCACATAAGAATGGAAAAGGTAAAAAATAAAAAGAATGGAAAAGGTAACATTCAGAAGATAAAATCCAAATTGCCCCAAAGGTTGAGAACAAATGCTCAAGCTTGCCAGTTATTAAAAAAAAAA